ATAAAAGTAAGTTTAAAAAATTAATTCAAAAATATATGGAAAGAGAGAAGAGGAGATAGTGTCAAATATTTGCTCATAAAGTTTGGCAGTCCTAAAATAGTTTAAAATAATATGGAAAATAAACCTGGAAACACACCACATACCTGAGGGAATCTAATTCTTGATCTCCTTGGTTGCTTCCAGATTGCCCTATCTTTTGTGATGAGTCCCTATTTCTTTAAGGCTCCTGCAGTCTGCTGTATAGCCCTCCACTTCTCTCCCTTGCTGTCCTCTGCTTACCTCCTTATCATTCCTCTCATTCATTGAAGACTGATACCTGGCTCAGTCCTGCCCTGGACTTCCTAATCAGAGACCTTTTCTCCATTCCACGTCTGTCTCCCACCTCTGGGAAATGTTAAATTCTTACTTCTTTTGAAAAAATATTACCTCTTCTGAAATATTACATTCAGCCCCTACTTGGCTACAGCTTTCTGTCCTTCCAGCTCTCTCACTTATTCACCATTCTTGGACCCATGAGACACTCTAATTCCTGAACTCTTCCAGTTTCTCCTAATCACCTCCACTCTGTCTTCTCCTCCTTCCCCAGCCAACTTAGATTCCATGGTCTGTCAGTTCAACCACCCTCCTGCCAGTGTCTCAATGTCTTCCTTATTTTCCTCCTGCAAACCCCTAACCTTGGATCACATTGGCTGTCTATTTATATCCAGGATGCAAAGTATTGCTGAAGAAAACACCATGACCATTCAGACCAGTGTCCCTGCTCAGAAATCCTTTTTCCTAGTCAGCTTCCTTTCAGTGTTCCATGGCGACTTCTTCAAACCTTCCTCAAATTCCTCAAACCTCCTCTGCCTTACACTCCAGGAGAAGGTCTTCTCATCAGGGGCCGGCCCCTTGGCCGAGTGGTTACGTTCGCACACTCCTGTTCGGCAGCCCAGCGTTTCACTGGTTCGGATCCTAGGCGCAGACATGGCACTGCTCATCAGGCCATGCTGAGGCAGCATCTCACAGGCCACAAATAGAATATACAACTATGTACTGGGGGGCTTTGGGGAGAAGAAGAAGAAGAATAAAAAAGAAGATTGGCAATAGATGTTAGCTCAGGTGCCAATCTTTAACAAAAAAAAAAGAAGGAAAATCTTATCATCTACTTCCAGGAGATAGATCATCAGATGAGAACGCCCTTGAAATACTGACACTAAACCAACATATTTAACTGTATGCATGTTTGTCCTATCCTCCCTCCCTCCTATCCTGTCTGAAGCTAATCCCTACACTTGGGCTCTGTCTTCTGGCCCTCCCACCTTCTCAGGGACTAATAGTTAATAGTGATCCCCTAACTCTCCTTTACCTCCCATTCTCCTTGCTCCTTCCCAATCACATTTAAATATGCTCAAGTCTCCCTACCTTTGAAAGAGATACTCTGGACCCCTTTAGCTGCCACCCTACTTCTCTGTGCCCATTCACAACCATGCTTCTTTTTTTTTTTTTTTTTGAGGAAGATTAGCCCTGACCTAATATCTGCCGCCAACCCTCCTCTCTTTTCTGAGGAAGACTGGCCCTGAGCTAACATCTGTGCCCATCTTCCTCTACTTTATATGTGGGACGCCTGCCACAGCATGGCTTGTCAAGCGGTGCATAGGTCCGCACCCAGGATCCAAACCGGCGAACCCTGGGCCACCACAGCGGAACCTGCGAACTTAACCGCTGTGCCACTGGCCGGCACCCACAGCTGCGCTTCTTAAAAGAATTATGCACACTCATTTTCTACTTGCCAACTCATTTTCCAATCTCTGCCCCACCACTCCACTGAAACTGCTTTTACCAAATTACCAAAAAATTCAGAGGATATTTTTGAGTTCTTAACTTGACTACCCCCCTTCTTGAAATAGTTTTTGCTTGACTTCTGTGATCTCACATCTGCTCACACTTCTATCACTGCCTTTCAGCTAAATCCTTTCCCTTGCTCTTCATTGAGTAAAGGGGATACCCTAAGAAGAAGAGGAAGATAAAAGACCCGAATCATTGTCTTTGTCTTCTCCTGGTTTTTTAGACTTGCTTTGATTGACCACTACGATGGAAACTGAATATAATAGTCCTATACAAAATGGCAAAAAACATTTTTTCTCTTTTGACATTGCCTTTTAACAATTTCTTTCCTATAGTTTTCTGTTGACTGGCCAACTAGAAATACCTTGCTTTCCATCTATTGTCAAGCCCCAGCAGAATTGCCCTGACACCTTTCCCAGCTGCTTAACCGTCTTTCAAATTACAGATTTGTCTGGTTCCTCCTGCCCCTCTGCTTGCTCATGGGTCCTTTCACCACCAAGCTCTCTGAAATTAAGAGGAGAGTCATTTTAATTTCAGACTAAATTGGATGTGATTAGTAAATTAAAATCAACCAATTTTTTTTAAGATTCTATATTCCAAAACTGTATCACTCCTAAGCTATATTCCAGAGCCAATTAATGAAGTTATCCACTCTCTCCATTAGAGAAAGAATTTGAGCTTTGGAGTCAGGTAGCCCCTGCAATCCAAGTTCTGCCACTTACTAACAGTGATCCTGGGCAAGCTACTTGCTCCTCAAGTCTCAGCTCCCTCACTGTAAAGCAAGGATATTAATGCCTCACTCACATGGTGGTAATGAGGATTTCACATAAGGCACTGGCTATAAGGTGCTGAGTAACTGGTAGCTATTGTTCTAAACAAGTTTACTATTAGCCATTTCTCACTAAAGAGACAGTCACTTAAGATGATTGCAAGATGGGAGGATTCACAACCTGAGTTATGAACAGCACCTTGAACTGAAGGAGCCAAGGTCTGACTTTAGTTACTCTTGCTCACAATAGTTGGCCCCATTTCCTTGCTTTCTATAAATAAGCTCAACATGATATGAAACAAAGTACATTTTACTGGACTCAATTTTTTTCTTTTGTTTTTGGGAAGTAAGAGTCTTCCTGAGCTAACATCTGTTGCCAATCCTCCTCTTTTTTTGCTTGAAGAAGATTAGCCCTGAGCTAACATCTGTGCCAATCTTCCTCTACTTTGTACGTGGGATGCCTCCATGGGATGGCTGATGAGTGGAGTAGGTCCGTGCCTGGGGTCCAAACCCGTGAACCTGGGCTGTTGAAGCAGAGTGCACAGAACTTTAACCACTCGGCCACAGGTCCGGCCCTGGACTCAAATAATTCTAATGGAGGCACAAACACTGTTGTAAGGTGGGAAACCAAATGTTACTCACAGACATAGTCTACTAATTTTCTAATCATGACAGATGTTACCTGGATACTGAATAATGCTAAATCTCAGGATATCCCAAGGGAAGCATTTATTACTAAATAAAGAGTGGCTAACACAAGGAAAGGGAAAGAAAACTAAAATTTTTGAGTGCCTATTCCAAGGACCTTTTGTACAGCTGGGCATTGTCCCTTCCTTATCTTATTTAATCTCAACAACACTGTAAAGTAGCTTTTTTTTTAGTGACCATGTCCTGGTTTATGCCTGTTGTCCTTAGTGAAACCTGACTTCTGTTATCCATATTTTACGGTTGAAAAAATGGAATCTAAAGGAAGGAAAGGATTCTGTGCGTGGTTACAAAGCCAGAAATCTCCTCCCTTCTGCAGCTGGATTTCTCCTGTGAATGTCTCATTCATGCCTGACTTCTCTAACTCACTATCATTTTGCTGTTTGCTAAATCCGTGGACACTCAAGTCCTCATCTTACTTGACCTCTATGCAACATTTCACACTGTTTGTCACTCCCTCCTTTCAAATATTCTATGGCTTTCATGGCACCGTTTTCCTGGGTCTTGCTCACCACTCTGCTTCTTCCTTCTGAGTCTCCTTCTCCTCCCCTCCCTTAGATATTGCTCCCCTCAGGCCCTCCACTTAGATCACACTTCATTCTTGAGGTGATCTCACCCTTAACTTTGGCAACAGTTACTCTCTGCTGATAATTCCCACACCTGTAACTCTAGCCCAGAGCTCTCTTCAGGATCTTGTCCCATATATCCAGTAAGATCTGGACATCTGTATTTGTATGCCCCAGAGTGATTTCATACAACTAACTAAAAATACATCATCTTCCCCCCCAAATTCTTCTTCCAGCATTACCTTTCTCTGTCAGTGGACTCATCATCCTCTCGGTCACCCAGACCAGAAACTTGGGTGTCATCCTTGACTCCTCCCTTTGCTTCAGACCCCCTCCAAATAAATTATCAAGTTGTGCAATTCTCTCTTAACCTCAGTTCATCTGCTCTGATCTCCACTGCCACTAACTTATTTTCGGCTCCCTTCCTCTCATCCCTGGACTGCTGCAACAGCATCAGTCTCCCGTCTCCACTTTCTTTCCTCCCTTTTTCTCCCCCTGCAAATCAATTCCTTCTTGACATTGTAGTCGTCACCTTTTAAAAATGCAAATCCAATCATGCCATTCTCCGTATAAAATCCTTAACCCTGAATTGTACAAGTTAAAAGGGTGAATTTTATAGTATGTGAATTATATCTCAATTTAAAAAAAATTTAGGGGCCGATCCCGTGGCCGAGTGGTTAAGTTTGCGCGCTCCGCTTCGGTGGCCCAGGGTTCAGATCCTGGGCGTCGACATGGCACCGCTTATCAGGCCATGTTGAGGTGGCGTCCCACGTGCCACAACTAGAAGGACCACAACTAAAATATACAACTACATACTGGGGGGATTTGGGGAGAAAAAGCAGGAAAAAAAAAAGATTGGTAACAGTGGTTAGTTCAGGTGCCAATCTTTAGGGGAAAAAAAAAACTTAGCCTGGTTTACAAAGCTTTGCATGACCTAGTCTGGCCTCACCGTCTCTCATTGCCCACCCTCCCCGGGCCTCCCATCTCCTCTTAGCTTTCCTGTGCTGCACTTCCTTCTGCTTCTGAGCACACCACACACCCTCTCACCTCTAAACTGTGCACAGTTTATTCTGTTTATTCTTTCTCCTCACCCTCTCCCTTCTCTTCACTTGGCTACCTCCTCTGTCCTTCAGGTCTCAGCCTGAGATGATGCTTCTCCAGAAAGACTTCCCTGATCTCCCCAGACTGGGTTTAGATGTACTTGAGGTATGTCATACTTAGCCTTTTTGTAGCATTTATCACATTATATTTGTTCATTTTATGAATATTGATTAACTGCTCTGGGTTGGGCACTGGGCTAGGGGCTAGGTATTCAGTGGCAAATAAAAGACATGCTCTTTGCCCTCCTTGAGCTTATAGTCTTAAGAATAGAGGAAGATAGACATTAAACAACGAATTACACTAAATATTTTAACTGTAATTATGATGTTTCAGGGCCACCTGAGAGGGTGTGATGAAAGATTTGACATAATTGAAGGGATCAAGGAAGACTTCTGAGGAAGTGACATTTAAGCAAAGACTTTAAGGAGCAGGAGTTGGTCCAGTGATGAGTGTAGGTGGAGGGCTCCATGCAGAGGAACAGACTAGGAGAAGTCCATGACAGAAAGGAGCTTGGAGGAGTTTCAGAAACTGAAAGGCTAATGTGGGAAACAAAGAAGAGCCCGGAAGAGCCAAATCATGCAGGGCCTTGTGGACGATGGTTAGGGTGTCCTATGGCCTTTTAAGAGGAGTAGGAAGCCTTTGAAGGCTTTAAACAAAGGAACTTTAAAAGCTTCCCTTGGCTGCTATGTACAAGTGGAAGCAAGAGGACAAGTTCACAAACTTCTCTGGATCTCCCACTAAACTGTAAGCTCCTTGAGGGCAGAAATTGTGTCTTATTAATTAATGTAGCCACAGAGTTCAGCACTGTGCCTTACACATAGCAAATGCTCAGTATTATATTAATGAATTGAATAAATGGATAGTGGGGCCAGGATTCCAACTTATGTTTTCAAGAAAGGCTCAGCTCAAGTATCCACATCCCACTCCCCACACACACACATGATTCAAAGATCACCTCTCCACTCCCACCCAAGACTGATGGGATATCCCTCCTTTTTGCCTCCAATGCATCTGTGGTCGATTGTATTTTCTAAAAATGGCCACAATACTATCTCATATCCAACATGCTCTTATTATAATGTAACTCTGATATTCTTCCCACTGAAAGGTGGTCTAGTTCCTTCCCCTTGGATTTGAAGCGAGGTTATAAAAGGTGATTCCACTTCCTCCTGGTTCTCTTGGGATTCTTGCTCTTGGAACCCAGCCACCATGTATGAGGAGGCCCAAGCTGCCCTGTGTAGAGACCCACATGGAGAAGAACCAATAGCCAGCATCAACTTGCCAGCCATGTGGGTGAGCCATTTTGAAAATGAGTCCTCCAGCTTCCTGCAGACCACCCAGTTGACACCTGTTGGAGTGGCAATGAGCTATCCCTGCTGAACCCTGCCCAAATTAGAGATTCATTAGCAAAATAAATGGTGATTGTTGTTTTAAGCCACTTAAGTCTTGGGATGGTTTTATTAAGCAGCAATAGGTAACTGGAAGAGCATCTTATGTTTGTCATGCAGGCAGGTGGTGCCACTCAGTGGTTAAGAGGGTGGTCTGTGACTAAGAGGGTCTTGGTTCAGAGCCTACCTCTGCTACTTTACTAGTTGTGTGACCCTTGGCAAGTTTCTCAACCTCTCCGTGCTTCAGTTTCCTTTTTTCAGTGAAAATAAAAGCAGTACTTAAGTTTGTTGTGAGGAGTAAGTGATCAATGCAGGTAAATGCAGATCTACAGGTAATACAGATCAGTCTTTGTGATCATCTCAGGCAAGCCTCTGATCATTCACCATCGCTCACTCGTGTGGCTCTGTTTCTTTGTCTTTATAATGCTTTTGGTATATGTATATATGTGTGTGTGTATTTCTATGTGTATCTATATACATGTATAGTATACAGCTTTTAGCGCTATCTGAAATGATCTTGTCTGCTTGTTATTGTTTATCCCACAGAGTATGAGTCCCAGTAAAGCAGGAAACTTGCCTGTCTCATTCACTGCTTTATTGCCAGTACCTGGAACAGTTCCTGGCACAAAGTGCTTAATAACTTTTTTTGTTAACGAATGGATGAATACACCTTTCACACTTCTTGTAGAAGATATCACTAATTCTTACCTGGTATCCATTTTCTCCTATAATAATAGTGGACCCTGCTTTTGTTGTGGATGTCAGTATGAAATACTCACTGTCCCAGACTCCCTTGCAGCTAAGGGTCATTGTGTAATACATTTCCTATGAGTGAGACATAATCAAAGTTCTGCTAAGGATGTCTGGGAAAGTTTTTTGCTTTGATATAGGCACTGCCCTTTCTTTCTTCCCCTTTTCCTCCTTCCTGCCCACAAGACGGGCTAGAAGTAGAGCAGCCAAAAAGGTGATAAACATCAGGATCAAAATAGGAACCACCTGAGACACTGATGAACTATGTAGTGAAGTCACTACACCACAGACTCTCTTATGATGTGAGAAAAATGAATCCTTTGTAGTTGAGCCCCAGCAGTCAGCCTTCTGTTACTTGCAGCCAAATACATTCTCAACCGATAAACTATGATGGAGTAATATCTACCCCTCTAGGCTGTTCATTAAGGGCAAGGGACTATTTCATCTTTCTTACTATTCTATAAGAGGACTGGAAGAATTTATCAGCACAAATGTCATTCACTATCCAGATATCTCTTCAGCTTTCTTCAAATAGTGAAAGGCAGCAAGTGGCATGGGACACCACATTATTATCTGAAACTATTTGGCTCCTCAGTTCAGACATTTCAAATAGCAGGGGTTACGTGTACTGTTCATTCCTGAAACAAATGTATTTATTGCCACTCTATGCCAGCATTGTATGACTGTTGGGGATACAGCAATGAGTAAGTCAGATGACTGAAGCTGGATGCCCAAGTTCCCACTAAACATTAAGCTCCCAAAGGGGAGGAGCTGAGCTGCTCCCAGTAAGAGAGACTTAATTCTAGCAGTCTCTCTACCATCTTGTGCCTCATCTCAACCTTCTTTTCCCCTGACCCCACTTTAGTGGTCTTGGTGGTCTCACTTCACTTACTCATTCACCAGCTTTTTTTTTAGAGTTTCCCATGTGCCTAGAATACCCAGTGTTTGGGCTGCATATTTATTTGTAGTATTTTGAATGCCTAATCTTGACTTCCAAGATCATTCAGGTTTTAAATTCTGTCTGCTTTCTCTACAACTAAACCTCCATGTCCTCTTGCTGATCCATGATAAAGGGGCTGTTCTCCCAGTACCAACACATCTATGTGGTTTACCTAAACTCAGCTGTGGGAGCTGGGTGTATTAACCTTACCTGATGTCATGACTGCGCGTTACGGTCCCAAACCCAAATGATAGATGCCCTCACTCAGCTCCAAGGTACATCCAGATTAGAATTTGGGACAGTGGTAAAATGGTTCAGACTAGTCATAAACTTAGTCTCAAGGGTTAAAGCTTTAGGAATTGCTGCTATGGCAATATGGGTGTAATAGGTTGAAGGTAGACTGTTGAGACAGATGCCAGGAATCCTGGGCCCACGTATTTTCACCTTTGATATTTTAATTAATTTATTTTTAAGGAAGATTAGCCCTGAGCTAATATCTGCCACTAATTCTCCTCTTTTTGCAGAGGAAGATTGGCCCTGAACTAGCATCTGTGCCCATCTTCCTCTATTTTATATGTGGGATGCCTGCCACGCAGCATGGCTTAATAAGCGGTGTGTAGGTCCGCACCCAGGATCCGAACCAGTGAACCCTGGGCCACTGAAGCAGAGTGCATGAACTTAACTGCTAGGCTACCGGGCCAGGCCCCTTGATATTTTATTTTTGAGGGTCTTTAAATTATTATTTGTGTGTGTGGGTGTGCTATTTCAGGGGCAGAAGGTTGGGCCATTTTGAAACTCTGATGGAAATTATAGAACCCTTTTCCAAAATAATAGACATCTGCGCACACACACATACAATATTTAGAAACCATTTCTGGAGGTCCAGGTTAAGAATCCACCTGTGATTCACCATGAGGGTGGAAACTTTTTCTATACCATAATTTTGTCCTTTATCATGTACTGTTTTCATTTACCTTTTCATGTGTGTATCTTTTATCCCATTGAGCAGGCAAGCTTCCTGCAAGAAATGGGCACCTCTTTATTTACCCCCAGTGACGTGTGCCTATAGGAACTAAGGCTTGTGGGAAATATTTGCCCATTGAGTCCTCTGAAGCTGCTATGCTGTACTGAGGACAGGCAGCTTTCCTTTTAATATTCCAACTGCCACCCCACCTCCCTCCAAAACTAAAGAGATCACAAGGACTAGACTCTACACTAATTTCTATTTACTTTCTAGGATTTAGGCCAAGGCATTATTTACATACTTCTCATGCAAATATCCAGTCTTGGATATTTAGAGAACAAGGTGGTGCCTAGTGGAAAGTTTTATACAAAAAAAAAAAAAAAAAGAACAAGTAAGTATTCATAAATGAATGTACTCTATTATCTTAAAAATGTGTGATCTTTATTCCTTCCACAGCTCTGTGCCTTACCCCATACACACCCACCCCTGTAATCAGACCCCCTATGAGTTTGTTTGTTTTTGTCTTTTTTTATCCTATCCCACGAGTTTTATTTCTCAAACTACTCTCCTTTCCTGGCATGTACTTGTGGAAAAAATTAAAAACAGGAATAAATCTAATGCTAATAGAATAGTGGCCATGTGGTTTTTCCTTTTTTCCTGATCCTTCCCTCCCATATAAATGTCAAAGCCACCTTTAGTCCTAACCTTTTTAGAACTTGGAAGTGTTTTCCCTCCTCCAGCCTCCTCTCCCTGACTCTATAGACAATTACAGCCACCTGGTGGCCAAGTGGAGAAATGACAGGTCGATTGCCCCGAAAATCTCTGGGGAGAGGAAGAACCTCTCCGGAGTAATTTTTGGTCTTGGCTCTATGGGAAGCAAGGAAAAAGAAACCTGTGATTACAGCAGAAGATCCAGACATCTATTTCTTAGTCCTACCTTGCCTCCTAGGACACAGCATCCCATCCACTAGTTATTATAAACAGATGAATTCACTTAACATTTGAGTTCATACAATCAAAATTTATTGAGCAGCAGCTGTTTACCCAACGCTGGGAATACAGCAGTGAACAAGATGGACATGATCTCTGCCCTCATGAGCTTACAATCTAGCAGCCAGCCAGCCAATTACATCCATAATTTTAACATTACAATTATAAGAAGTGCTCTGAAATATGCATGGTGCTAAGAGAAGATTTAACAGAAAGTCTTGACCTGCACCAAGAAATCAGAGAAAGTCTCCCTGAGGAAGAAATATTTAGAATCAGCTAGGTGGAAAATGGAAGAGTGTTGCAAGCAGAGAGAACAGTCTATGTGACAGCTCTGAGGCAAGAAGACATTTAATGAACTGAAAGCCAGTCTGGGTGGCTGGAACATAGGGAACAAAGAGGAGTGATGCAAGATGAGATACGCAAGGTCGGCAGGGGGTGATTTCTGCACAGTCTTTGAATTTACGACGTTATTCCCAAAGCAACTGGAAGCCACTGCAAAATCTGAATGAGGAAAGTTAGATCTTTAGGTTTGTTCTTCAGAGCTCACTCTGCTCTGTGGAGGACAGATGTGGAAATGGGAGGACTGGTTGGGAAGTTTCCACAGCAGTCTAGAAAAGAGGTGATGATAGCTTGGAGAAGAGAAGGGTTCCAGAGATATTTAGGAGATAGAATCTACTTGGAGAGTGTCTGGGTGCGTGAAGAAAGGGATGTTTCTGGCAAGAGATACTGAAGTAGGATCCTCTGCAAGAGGGATGGGTTTGGGCAGATCCCATAGGCACAGGCCCTGAGTCTGGTGCTAAAGCAACAGCATAGCTTTGGTTCTCAAATACTTTAGGGTTTAATTGAGCAGACAAGACACACATGAAACAACTGCAGAACTGATTAAACATCAAAATGATTCAGACAGTTCACAGAGTCTTGGAGCACATAGGGCTGAGTGGAAGCCCTCAGTCTCACAGTGAGTTCAGATAACTGCTGAAGCCAGTACAGATGTCTCCACCTTTGTCCAAGCCTTTCATAGTCAGCCCCTCATAAAACTCCTATGCAGCTCACCCAGTGTCTCACAGGGGCCACCTTGCCCTGCACTGGGCCCTGGTGCCCTCTGCCAGGATGATGCACCAACCTCTCCCTGATTCTTTTTTGCCTGCTACTGTCAGGAATTTCTCCTGTTATTCTCATTCCCCACGCCTGCTTAGGTTAAAGGGGACCAAATCTGGGTACTGCCTCCGATGGTGGTTCTCTTTTGGTCACCAGTTTTCTGACTTCCTGAGCTCCTCTCTAAGGAGGACCCCTGTCACGCCCCCTCTTGCAGAGTTACCATCTTGCAAAGTCCACTGTGCCTCACTTACCTTCCCTAAGAGGCACAGGCCTATCATGAATATACTGTGCCATTTACCTCCTTTTTGCTCCCCCATCCAAAGTGTCCCGATCCGAAGGCCGTTTCCCCACTCTAGTTTTTCCTGGAGTCAGTATATACCCACCTCTTTGCCTCAAAAAAGTCAGAAGAAAATTTGTGCTAGGGATTAACCAGGAAGTATCCCCATAGCTAATGGTCAGCTGACACTTAGCCTTCCCTGTCTCCTCTGGTGCAGCTGAACTCTGCTAACTCCCTTCCAAAGGCAATAACTGCAGGAAAAAAACGGCTGACTACACAATAGGCCTGCAGCTTCCCATTGTGCAATGAGCCTAGGACATTGAGATAGTCCCTGTATGCTGAAAAGAATATGGACTTTGGAATTGGGCAGACTTAGGTTTGCATCCTGGTTACTATCTAGTATACCTTTGTGCTATTAAATCTTGCTAAGCTTCAAAAGACCTATCTGTAAAATAGTAGTTATGGTATCCATCTTATGGGGTAGTCATATCAAACAGTGTGTATACAGCACATAGCATAATATCTAGCCTGAATTACCTGGTAACCATTCACTTCCTTTCTTCCCCTTGGGTTTCACCTGCCAGATACTATTCAGAGATAAGCCACTTTTATATGGCCGGTGATAGACATTTCCTATTCCTGTCTTTGTAAATCCCATCTTCCTGCAGCCATCCCATGTCCATCATTGCCAAAAAAGTTCTTCCATCCCTCACCCCTGTGTAGGACTTCTCTTTCTCTTACTATCAAGAAGTTCTGCCTGAGCTATCCTGTCCTACATCTCCCTCATCCAAGATACTTCATCTTGTAGCATTCCTAAAAATTAGTTCACTTCTAGCATTCTCCCTAACTTTTTCAGAGTAAATTATAATGGACCTGGGGAGTAGGACCTTTACAGTTCAGGAGAGCATAGGAACCACAGGCCAGTTCCCAGAGTGGAATGGAGATCTGGATCCAAGCACCCCCACATCCCCACCTCTTTTCCTACAGGGCACAGAAACAGCCAAACTCAAAATATGTCTTGAGTCTACATGAGCATACATCTCCTTTCCTATAGCTCTGTGAGGTCATCATTGAAGTAGAGCAGTATTGCCGGTGTGTAGAGTGTACTGTCCATAGTGAGAGAGTCAAACTCTTCCTCCTCATCCTGGATCCCATTCTCTTCCAGAGTATAATCCATGTTCAGGTTCTTCCCTTCAAATTTCCATGTGTAGCTGGCAGCATGAGTGTTATAGGGGAGATAGCGGTGTAGGATTTCCCACATTGATTCCAGGGTCCCCACCTGGAGAACATGAAAGCATGCCACCCCCAGAATTCTGGGTGGAACAGGTACACACACACACACACACACACACTCCCCAAGCAAAGGCGAGGAGCCCAAAAGATGAAAGAGCTGGGATCAAAGTGCCTCCCTTGGCCGAAAGCAGGTTCAGGCGCTCCACAGTCCCAGAAATGACATTGGAGCTCAAGCAAGCAGTGAATGGCCCCAGAGTCTACCTGTCTTTATGGCAGCTACTTCTAACAAACGGATGGCACTAAAGGGTAAAAGTCACTGCCCCTCACCTCATCCCCACAATAGAGTAGACTAATAAGAGAGTCCAATTGCAATTGCTGTCCAAAACACAGCATGTAAGCTCTTCCCAGGACCACCGTCACTGAGATGCATGAACTGCTGTCCTGGGCTTATGAAGGGGTCTCTAGTACCTTGTGACCCAGCCACTTGAATTCCCAACCCTGGGGATCAGGTGGCCTGCTTTCCTCGGTTTCCCCTAAAAGGGAAGAAAATACAGCTCCCACCGGTTAGGGAGAGCTGATGGCCTGAAGACCTGCTTCGAGATTTGCTGGAATTTCCCAGTAACATGCTCCCGGGCACCAGTTCTCACCTCCAGTGTGTGCTCCTGCGACGTGAGCGTGTTAATGATGCGGATGTTCCGGGTCTTGGCGGACAGTCGCCCCACCTCGTAACGCGACCCCTGCCACCAGGGCATCCCGAAATCATTGGCCCAGTCCGAACGGGGCAGCTGAGGCGGGACGTGCAGAAAGCGGCCCCGGGGGGTGCGGTATCTCAGGGTACCGGTCAGCGGATCTATGTGCTTGCGGATCTTTAAAGCAGGGTTTAGGGGCCAAGAGTGGGAGCAGTCACTATCTCGGTCTCTGGCTAGCCCCTGCTTTTCCTTTCCATCCCTGCTCTCCAGTGCCCCTTCCCTAACCCCAGGTTCCAGCACAACTCACGTCTTTGGTCTTTGGATCAAACCAATGGCTGATGTCCTGGCCCGCAACTTCCACGATGGGTTTCAGCAGCAGGTCTCCTGGGAAGGAGCAGCCGCCGTCAACGCTAGCCACGCTAGAACCAGGCACCCAAACACACACCCCGACGCTGGCCCAAAGGGTCGCCCTTACCCTTGTACGCCTGTGCCAACGGCGTTAGGTCATACACGTATCCCAGGTAAGACACCCAGAGGTCTTCCGGCCGGTTGTGCTGGGCCACCTCGGCCGGCGTGAAATATCGACGCTGGAAATACTCAAAGTCTGGCCCGGCCACTAGGCCCCGGCGCGGCATGGCTCTTGCTCTATTGGTCATCGGGCTCCCTTAGTTGCTTCCTCACTCCTCAGCACGCAGGCATTACTGCATCCTGCCTCTCGTCCAGGAGCTAAGGCTAGCGCGTTTACCCGCTGACATGGAAACCATTGTTCTTTTCCGGCCACCGTCCACTCAGAGGAAACGCTGTGGAGGCGGAGGAGGGTGGGCTGCACGTGCTCACGGGAAACGTAGTCTGATTCCAGCATTCAAGTTAATTGAGTTGCGTTCCTTGTAGTTCTTGGGGAAAGCGAACACACTCCGCTTTAATTCAGAGTGGCCTGGGCTACAGGGGATATTTAGGGCAGACTGTCGCTCGAAGAATAGGGCGATTATAAAAATAGGTATTCTCGCTAAATTCCAATGTTCCTAAAGGATAGGTAAGAAACTAGAGAGGTAAAATCTCTCGCGATATCTTAAGACATCGGGCGTAATAGGCCTCAGTGAGTCACAGCACTGAAAAAGTGGAAGAAGCTCGCGAGATCTCTGCAGTTGCCGAGGAGACGGGGAGGAAGACCGGTGATCTCGCGAAAGAAAAGAGGTGGGGAGCGCTCGCGAGATCTCAGATCGCCGGACCCGAAAGGTTCTTAGGAAGTTGAAGGGCCCGGAGGAGGCCCCAGGGCAAATGGCCGGAGCTGGACCAACCATGCTGCTACGAGAAGAGAATGGCTGTTGCAGCCGGCGTCAAAGCAGCTCCAGCGCCGGGGTTAGCGCAGGCTCAGGTTTTGGGATTGAGGGGCAGTCGGGGAGCAAGATGGGGGGACGAAGGGGGAACTGCAGCTCCCGGCAGGCTCTGGGCTTCATGTGAGTGCCCCGCGGGCTGTCGGGAGCTGTGGTTCCGCGGGTGGGCGGCAGCCGGGGCGGCGCGGTCTCAGCGCGTGTCCCACCCCGCGCAGGACTCAGACGGGGAGCGCGAGGACTCGCCGGCTACGCGCGCAAGACAGCAGCTGGAGGCGCTGCTCAACAAGACTATGCGCATTCGCATGACAGATGGACGGACATTGGTCGGCTGCTTCCTCTGCACCGACCGCGACTGCAATGTCATCCTGGGCTCGGCGCAGGAGTTCCTCAAGCCGTCGGGTCAGTGCCCGGGGAATGCACACCCGCCTGGGAATGCGGCCGAGCCTCACGCAAGGCAGTTCTCCTCCAGTGCTTGTCTGCACCGCTCTTTTTCTGGGGCTGGAAGTCGTGGCCCAGAAAGGGCGGGGCCCACGCTGGCCCGCCTCCCTGATGCTCTGACCCTCCTTTCCAGATTCCTTCTCTGCCGGGGAACCCCGTGTGCTGGGTCTGGCCATGGTACCCGGACACCACATCGTTTCCATTGAGGTGCAGAGAGAGAGCCTGGCGGGGCCTCCTTATCTCTGACCACGATCGCGCGTGCCTTTCAGACTTCATTAAACCTGTAACAGAAGTGGACTGTGTCTGTGTGTAGCTGAGATGCCAGGACAGGGATTACACACTCCATCCCTAGAGGAGGAGGTTTATCCGAGGTCCGGAGCACTCTCAATCTCGACGTCCAGTAGTGCCAAAGGTTCCCTCTTTTGGGGGTGGGGATGGGGCCAGGCTAAGCTTAGGACCCACAGGCCCCAGGGTGGGCCCCTCCATCCTCCCTCCCACGCCGCTGCTCCAGAATGTGGCGGGAGGGGGTGTCATCCTGCTCCGGAAGGCCCATTGTTTCCCTCCCCGGCCTGGCAGCACCGAGTTCCTCTAAACTAGGGTCAGAGAACGGGCTCAGGTCCCCAAGGGGAGCAGAGCAAGAGAGAGAGGCCAGGCTGTCTCCACTCTGTTGTTGGGTAGGTGACTTTGGGGTCAGGGACAGAGCTCTGGGGTCTGGCCAGGAAGAACGGGTTAATGCGTAAGGGAAGGCTGAAGGATGCTCCCGTCTGCTCACTTGAGCCCGCACCCCCCTCCCCGTGTTTCCTGCTCCTGGGCACAGGGCAGGAGTGATAGTATTTGTGAAGTCTCTGTGTTCACGAGATCCCAGGAGCACGTTCAGTTCGTTAATTCTTTATTGATGTGGGATGACTCCTTTCCCTCCAACCTCGCCCCGCAGCCCGTAAATACTAGAGGAGCCGCACCGGAAAAGGAGAACACGAGGTTCCGTTGTCCTGTTCACAAGGAGAGCAGAGGGTATGCAGGGTCCAGCCCAGATGTTCAGGATTTAGATATGGGTAGTGAGAAGAAAGTAGGTTTTCTAGGGTGTGGCAAATTTTCACCAGCATTGGGTCCACAGATGCTGCTCCCCAAGGGGTCGCTAGGACTCGGCTTAGGCAGGAGTGGGGGCAGGGTAAGTCTGGAGACCCCCGGGCTTCAAGTCCTTGTGCCAACAGCGAGAGAGGGCAGTGGTCAGGGTTGTTCTTGACTTGAGAGTCCTCAGATCAGACCCAGACCTTTCCTGATGTGGGGACGGCCTGGGACCCTGGTGAGGCCCGGGTTTGCCGCGGCTGCTGCGGGGCGCGCCGGCGCCTGTAGAGGGCTCGGCTGTAGGGCACGAGGCAATCGCCCAGGCGGAGGCGCAGGCAGAGGCGGCGGTAGCTGGCCAGGGCAAGCACGAGCAGCGGCACGAGGAGCAGGAATCCGGTGACCAGCAGGGCCGTGAAGCCCGGGTCCCGCAGGTGCGCGGTGCAAGGGGGAGCCTGGGAGCGCAGGAACTGTGGGAGGAGAAGAGGCGTCAGGCCCAAGCCAAACAGCCCAGGTGGGGACAAGTTGTGGCCCATAGACCCCACCGCCACCATCACCACATACACGCGCACTCACACGCACATCCCAGGATGCACGCTCACCTGGGAGTGACAGAGGAAACCGAAGCCTAGCATGGTCACAGCGGGTAGCAGGATGGTCCCCAGCACCAGCGCCAGCAGGAGAAGATTGAAGGCAGCCACCAGCAGATTCTGGGCCGTGACCAGCACAGCGCAGGCCCAGCAGTCCAAGGGGTCCCGGGGCTCTGGGCCGCCGCCGGGAACCGGTCGCATCGCCCCCGGGACATCCGCCATGACCCGCCTAGCTCCCGCCCGCCCAGGCCGTCTGGGCCGCGGCCCTTATAGCCCTCTTTCCTGCCCCTCCCCCGGCGCAGCCTCTCCCCACCCCCCTTATCCTGGAATGCGGCTCCAGGATTAGGCACCCCCCATACCGTGGAGCGGACCAGAGCTCTGGACATTCCACAGGCGCCTCCGGGGAGGGGCTCAGCTCGCCGGGGTCTGCGCACTCCCTCCCCATCAATCACGGTCTTGCAGCCCTCCTCCCAGTACTCTCCCCGCTATCACCAGCACGTTACCAAAACAAGACGTTTTTTCTGGTTTTATTTTTAATATTAATATTCTCACACAAAAATCACCGAAAATAAGGGTAGGGTTGGGAAGACCCCTCTGCCCCTAGGGCAGAGAGACAGTGCAGTGCGAGGGGGCGGGACTGTAAACCCCCCACCCCTCCGCAGCCCCAGCGAGGAGAAAAAACTGACAAAACGAAAATAAAGCCCCAGAGAAACTCATCCCGGGGTGTCCCTGCCCCAGTGAGGCCCTGGCCCTGGGCTGTTTCACGCTTAAAAAGAAAAGGGGGGCGGGGCGGGGAGGAAGGTCTGTGTTTGTAAAATTGGCCGGGGCTGGGAAGGACGGGGTTCCTTTTCCTCATAGTTCTTTCTTTAAAACTTTTAAATTTTTTTATTTTATTTATTTTTTTTACAAAATACCATTTCAGTTCCCACTTCTTCCCCTACAGTACAGGAGTCGCTCACCCTCAGGCAGGGTTGGGGTCGGGTCGGGAGTAGGAGACTGGTCCGAGAAAGTGCAGGACGTAGGGGAGGGGAGCGGGTTTGAGCACCATGAGAACCCGGCTGGAGCCGCGGGCGGGCGGGCGGGCGGAGACGGACGGGCCGGCCCGGACACACACTGGGGCGCAGGGAGAGCCCGGCGGCGGGCGGTCCCCGGAGGGGCGGGCGGGATGGCTTGGGGGGTGCAGGAGGTCGGGTTTTCCCAAAAATGAATAAATAGAGGTGAGTGGGACTGTTATAAATTAAAAACCAAAAAACAAAAACAAACAAAAAAAAACAAAAAATACAAATCATAACCAAGTGAATAAACAGAGACATGTACAGGGATCACAGCTAGCATTGGAAGTAAAAAAAGGAGGTTCTGGGGGAGGGGTAAAGCCCATAGAAAGAATCTCATTAAAAACCTCGGCTGCCGGAACGTCTATGTACAAACACGAGCCGCGCGTCAGCGCCGGGCGGGCGGCGGGCAGGCGTGAGGGAACCCGTATGTGACCCCCGCCGCCGCCGGAGCCTGGTCCTTGTGTCTGTTGCTAGAAAGGCCAAAGTCGGTGAGGGGAGGCGCTGGTGGGCGAGGGGCTGCCAGCCCCCTCCCCCGTCTCCCATTTTTTTTTCCTTTTTTCCTCATATTAAAAAAAAAAAAAATCTTAATAAATTAAGTGAGGGGAGCTGCCAATGGGGTGGAAGGGCTGGGCCCGACCCCCTTCCCGGCCAGAGGCGGGACCTAGGTCCAGCCCAGGCGTGTGCTGGTGGCCCCGCGGCGCCCTGCGGGTGGGCAGGCGGGCGGGGCGTCCGGCCTCATCGCGACGTGCTGGCGGGGGCCTGCGGGGAGAGAGCGGGCGGCGGCTCAGCGGCAGGCGCGGGGCGGCCCACCCCACGCCCGAGCCCTGCGCCCTGCGCCCTGCGCCCCGCGCCCCCACTCCGGTGCGCGCCCGCCTGCCGGCCGGCCGCGCTCACCAGCGTGAAGGCGTCGTAGGCCTGCGCCAGCTCCTCAGTGCGGTACTGCTCCAGCACCACCACGCCCTGCAGGCCCGCGCTGCGGCGCCGCGCGCACGCCTCGCAGTGCACCAAGTACGTGTTGCGGCTGCCGTTCTCACTCGTCACGAACAGGATGTTGAACACCTCCACCTGGGACAGGGAGGAGGAGGCAGTCACGGGGAGGGCGGGCCACCGAGGGCACCTCCCTCCGGGCACGGGAGAAGGAGAGCGGGCGCACTCACGTCGCACTCGTTGCAGTAGTAGGCGGGCTCGTCCTTGACCCGGCCCTGGTAGGCGATCTTCTTCCCCGCCCGCACCAGGCTCTCCCGCTGCACCTGGCAGTGCTTCATGGACTGCAGGAGGCAGAACCTGCGTGCGGGGAAGGTGGTGCTGAGGCAGGGCTGCCGGCGCGGGGAAGCAGGTCGGGGCCTCCCAGCTGCACGCCCCGGTCACATCCCCTGACCAGGGCATCTAACACAGTTGAAATTTCATGTGGTTTTTGTCTATTTAGACCACAAGAAAACGAAGCTGCTTCAGAGCAGGGCCCTTGTCAGCCACCCCAGAACTGTAACACTGCAGGGCACATGGTAAAGGGTGGAGAGAGAGGCGGAGAATGGGGTAAATCAGACCGAGGGCCGCGACACAGATGGGCTTCCTCCCAACTAGGGCCCTCACTTGATCATCTTGAACAAGTCGGGGTCGCTGATTTTGACCGTGCGAGCCACGTTCCAGGACACATGAATCATGGGCACAATGGACTTGACGTTCTTCACCTCGTTCCACTCGTATCGTTCCAGGGCCAGCTGGTACTGATAGGCTGCAGGCCAGAGGGGATCACTACAGGATTCTTAAACAGCTCCCGGCCACTTGGGCCGCAGCCCCTTCCCGCAGAGCTGGCCGCTCTCCAAGCCCCGCCCCCGGGGCTCACTCTGCACGGGCCACACCCCCTCTGCAGGACCCATCACCTCACCCCACCCTCTCACCGGTGAGGGGCCCCACGTTCCAGGCGATGTTGTTGCACCAGCCGGTGGCCTGCACCCAGTGCACAGTCCCTGCGTTAATCCACACGAGGTCTCCGGGGCGCTGTACGAAGCGGTACACAGGGATATTGGAAGCATAGAGGTCATCCAGGATTGGCCACCAGGAACCCGTCAGGTAGTCTACGCCGTGCCTGCAGGGTGGACACAGGGTCAGATGGAAATCTGGGGACCCAGGGACGGGACGGGACGTGGAGGGGTATCTAACAGGGAGGAGGGCGGCGCGCACCGGTCGCAGAAGGCGCTGATGGTCTCCCAGTAGTGCTCGTGCACCGCGAACCACTCACAGTCGCCTGGGCCGATGTTGATGTTGACAGAGCAGAAGTTGTTGTTCTCTTGGTGGCCTGCAGGGGGCGACAGAGAACGGCAGGGCTAGCCGAGCAAACTCGGCAACCAGCCCGCCCTTTAGCTCTCATTGGAGGACCGAGAAGCGCCGAAACCAGTCCCGCCCCTCGCGCGCTTCCCGCCCCCGCGCGCCCGGGCGACGAGCGCACCTGGCGTTCGGCTGCCTGGGACCTTCATATACAGCTGCACCGTGTTCATGCCCAGGATGGTGTGGCCGACGTGGCTCAGCATGTTGCCCGTGGATGTTACCCGCATGAAGGCGGGCAGCTTCAGCAGCTCCTGCAGTTGGGGCTTCCACCTGCGGTGGCGACGGTACAACAAAGTGAGAGGCTACCCTGCCGCGGCCACCCCATCGGCACTCCTGCCCCTGCTTTGCTGGCCTGAGCCCCACTGACCACTGACCGTTTGGCGTCAGACAAGTCGATATTGGTGCCAAACTTGATGATGTGATGGTTCTTCGGGTCTGGTGTGCTGCTGCTGCTGGGGCGGAGAACACAGGTTGGTGGAGACGCCCAGGGAAGGAGTCATGAAAGGTAGGGGCAAAGTGTACGGTACCTAGGAGGGGTTCCTGTGGTGCTGTCCGGCTCCTCGGACTCCTCATCCTCACTCTCCTTCTCCTCCTGCTTGGCCACAGGGGTAAGCAGGCCTGGGTCAGGGACCTTCCAGGAGCCCTCCCACCGCAGCCCCAGCTCCAAGCCCCCTGATCCCACACCCCTGCCTCTGTCCATGCTCACCACTCACCTGCAGGGACTCCTGGAAGGATGAGGCCTGGTACTGCGCGTACTTGGCAATGGTGGTGTGGGAACGGGAGCTCTCGCAGGGCCAGATCTGTCGCGTACCAGTCAAATCCCAGTTTTCATCTGAGGGCTGCTGCACCTGGGTGCGCACCTCTACCGTATGCTCACCACTTGCCTCCACCAGCGTCTTGGTGGAGAAGAGGCCCAAGTCTGTAAGGGAGAGCCAAGCAGGATGTCAGCATAGAGGCAGAGGGCAGGGAGCAAGGATCCAACTCACTCTGTCCCGCCTTACTCCCCAAGCCTGACAGGGTGGACATAGGCTTCACCCATAGAGCTCAGCCTAGGAGGAAAAGGTGAGAACCCCACCCCCACATGAAGCTGGGAGGGTTCACCCTCCCAGGCCCTAGCCTTTATCTGGATCACCACCAACTCCCTTTCTCCCACTGCTGCTCTGAGCCTCAGCCCCTCCACCAGAGTCCCAAGGCACAGAGCACCTGGCAAACAGTAGGTGCTCAATAAATGGCAGTTTCTTTAAGCTATCATTGGATCCCATAAAAGATTTAGTCAAGTGAAAGCCCAGAGAATATATGGATACAGAAACGACTATGTGTATAAAGGAAACGAAGATTGAATTTCACGTTTCTATATGGTTTCCTCTACTTTTCTATGTTTGAAATTTTGCACAATAAAAGCTTGAAAAACATAGATAAAGCCCTGAACCATAGGTCTTCAGGATTTACTACAATCTGTATTCTTCTCATCCTTAATCACCAAGAAAACCAAGTGACTCTAACCAGGCCCTGAGATACATCCCATTCCCACTTGCCCACTGCTGGGGAGAGACAGACAGATGGGAGAAAAGCCTGAGGCCAGCTAATCCATTACACAGAGCACTCTTCAAAACTGGTCTATGAATGACAGAGGAGAGCTCACTATAGCCACAGTCCTGAGTCTTCAAGTGTGGGGGCTTGTAGAGGCTCCCAAGGCCCCAGATCCTTGCTGCCCTCCCCACACCTTTGTGCCGCACACACTCACTGAGCCGCAGGGAGCCTGCCAGGCCACGGATCACGGTGATGGGATTTCGAGGGTCTGTACAGAACTGCAGCAGCACCGGCGAGAAAGCATCCCGTTTGCTCTCCAGCTGAGGGACACCCAGGAGACAGGGCTGGGATCAGAGCCCCGGCCCAGGCTCAAAGCAACCCAACAGCCCCCAACATTGTCTTATAACCCTCTGGCAGAGGCAGTTCTGAGCACGGATGGCACACGTACATAGATGCTGGGTGTGGGT